CGGTCACAAACACGTTGAAGGGCGACGCTACTGTCCAGGCATCGTGAAGAGAAAACGATACAAATTAGTTAATACCGGTATATCGGACTACAATTTCATGGGCGTTTTAGGAAGTGTCCGTCTTTGGGACAAATTCCAAAGGCATAGCGTAGTGAAACAAGACCAGCTACGCCTAAAAATAGCTCAGGGAAGTTCCGCTGCAGTACCATCAATATGTAATAAGGAGATTAATTTCCATTATCTCGAGTTCAGATTACTCGCTGTTAGCATTTCGTCACAGCAATATACTGCATTCCTCCTTAGTAGCCCCAGAAGCTCCTTGGTAGGCCTACTCAGCGACAACTGCAATTGCCGCGACTGCCTTCGTCGTGATGACGGGGGGGGGGGGGGGGCAGAGAATCTGCTAAGGGGGCCGTCGGGTAGCTTTATGGCCTGGAGATGCCACTTTTGAGCTGTTATAACCGCACATTGCGGAGCTGTTAGCTTAAAAGTGGCACCTCTACTCGCACGCATGCCTTCAGTGCCAATGCACGCCTGTGATTGCAAAGTGGGTGGCGAAGGCCACTTACCGAGAAGCGCACTGATCGAAGTTCGAACTAGTGCGTCATTATACACCATGCGATACTCTGTTTACAAAGCCCAGGTGCACTTCGAGAAGAGTCATGGGGCCATAGGGAGAGATAAAAGTCATAGTAAAACGTTTCGTTTCGTTTAATTAGAGCCTGATATTTGTGCACCTTGTTCCCTAAAGTGTTTCAAGCTTTCGTAGCAATCATAACGCGAGCATTTTTACGTATTGGTGTATTGCAATCATTACAGAACACAAACGCTGGCAAAAGCAAGGAGCATAAGATTCATGACTTCGATAGTGATGAGCAGGTGGTCCGTCGACATTTTCCCGCCAGGGCAGCTACTTGAACTTGAAATTCTGAGCTATTCAGGACTTCGAGAAAACTGGTAATACCAATCAAATCGGCCACGTCTGATCCGACAGTGCGGAAAAAGTGCAAAAATGCGGCATACTCTTCTTCAAGACAGCACATTCGTGCTGATTAGCAGCCAGATGAAGCAGGTCCATCCAATCGTGCGGGAAATTAGCAAGCAGATCACGCTGCAGTTACTCATATTACGCCATTGTGAATCAAGCACGCGATATAAGGGAGCTTAAACTTGTCATATCCGAGTTGGCAGGACATATTGTCGTCCTAGGTTCGGACAGAACTGGAGTTACCACGGTTGAAAATGCAATGGTATCTGCCGTTTACTGTCAGCAGTTTAATGGCAAGCTGCTGCATTGGTCTAGGTGCCAACTCTATCCAAACGTGTTAAATTTGCGTGCGCTGTTTGCCTTGTTACTTGATGGTGTTACCGCACGTCCATGGCGGCCATATCGGTAAAAAGCCGAAGGAACATTCGCAGAAATAGCCGATGGTATCGCACGCCACCAGTCTGGTTTGGGCCGATTTGAATACATACCAGAGCATTGTGCATCAACTGGCGGCGAGCACCGCAAAAGAGCGCATTTTAGGTG